AATAATTTTATATAATATAATTTTTATTTATATAATTTTTTTAATTTTTTTTAATTTTTAAAATAAAATAATTTTAATTATTATTATTTTAATAAATTTTTTAATTTTATTTAATTTAATTTTTATATTATAAAATATATTAATTAATATTTTTTTAAATAATTAAATAATAAATTTTTTATTATTTTAAATATTAAAATTTTTAAAATTTTTTAAATTATATTTTTAAAAAAAAAATATTAAAAATAATTATTAATATAATATAAATTTATTTAATTATTATTAAATAATAATTTATAATAAAAATTATTAAATATTTATTTATAATTATAATAATTAAAATAAAAATAATTTATTTAATTTTATATATTATATTAATTTTTATTAATTATTTTATAATTTTACTTTATATAAAAAATTTATATTTTTAATTAATTATAATAGTTTTTTTAATATTATTAAAAAAAAAAATTAAATTTTTTTTATAATTTTTATATAAAATAAAAAAAATTTATTTTATTTTTATTTAATTAAAATATTAATATATTATTTATTATAAATTTATTATTAAAATATTATTTTTTTTTAAAAATAAAAATAAAAATAATTATTTTATTTTATTTTAAAATAAAAAAAATAATTTTTTTTTATTATTTATTAAAAGTTATTTATTTAATAATAATAAAAAAGTTTTTTAATTAATTTTTTTAAAAGTTAATAAAAACTATTATTATTTTAAAATTTTTAATAAAAGTAATAAAAATAAATATAAAAGATATTTTATTTAATAATTAATTAAATAAAATAAGGTTTTTAGTAAAGGGGTACCTAAAAGGTAGGGTACCTATAAGTGTAGGAGGGAAGCTTAAATGATTAAACTTTGTAATATATACTAAATGGATTATTATTAAGTTTACGTTAACACTGAGCTGGGAAATGCTTTTGCTTTAAGAAAGATTGAAACCCTATAATAAATTATGCCCAAGAGAAATGTTCAGAGTGTAAATAAACTCCTCCAGACTTGGATCCCTTTAGGATATTTAGGTTTGCTTCTGCAACAGCATTTCTAACATCATGCTGCATAGTATCTGGCCCACAAACAAAGATAGCAAGCGATTCCCCTCGATCTGCTACTCTGACGGCTTCTTCTTGGATAATCAGCGGTAAATGAGGCCGCTCGTCGAGGTGATTGTCAAATAGCGCCGACAATGGGGTCTCTGCTCTGCCCTCTGGGGCAATAATGCTCTCCGGCGAGGAGGAAGGGTTAGTTAAGCCTCCTGAAAGGTCATGGATTTTGTCAGTCAGGTCAACCCCTTGTGCAGTCTGGCCAGTCAAATGTAACTGGATACGAATATTGGAAATCGACTCTCTTGTTGAATATCGGGATAGTAGCTCCTTGACAATTCGTATGTACCAAATCCGAGTGCTAGCATCTTGAATTGCTACTATGACGCGGAGAGTAAATGACCCGTAAGTACTGCATTCATTATTCTTCGTCTTTTTCTCGATGCTCTCAAGATCTGCTGCTTGGCCACGCTCTTCATCAAAGGGTTTTGATTGGCACAAGACAAATTGTTCAATAAAGGGCAAAGTCCAACCGGCACCTGATCCTCCTGCAATGACGAGAAGATGGTCACTGTGAGCGTATGATTGCTGGTTAATCCCTCCATACGGACCATCGACAAGTACGGGGATGGAAGAACCCGGATTTTCTAAAGCAGTCTGGTGCAGACGTGCCGTTAAGCCGCGCTGGTGGCGAATGTAAAAGATGAGCTCGGACCTTTCGTTTGTCTCTCTGGATGGCAACGAGCATATGGTGAATGGATGGGCCGAGAGAGCTTGAAAAAATCCAAATCCGGTGAAGCGGAGGAAGCAGTGCTGTCCCGGTATCCATGTGAAGTTTGCCGGGATTGAAATGCGAGTGAAGCCACCGTCTTCAACGGTAACCTGGGCTTTTGCCCTCGTGCCGTACTCGAAGCAAGTCCGGAGCCAAGGATAAACGTAGCATGGGACATACACAGCCGCTGTCGCAATGAAGTAGTGCCTGTAGAAACGTCAGTGTCAGAGGAGGGATATTTATAGTCACGGCTTGCTCTTACCAAGAAGTCAGGGTGTAATCGCAATGCCAGAAAAATACCAAGACAAATATGGCAGCGGCGAGAAAATGGGTCGCTTTGAAAAATTCATAACCTAGATTTCTTATCAATGTGTCAGATGCCGAGTTTTGGTAGAATTGTACTCTGCGCCTATTACCTACCGAATCACACTGTGGGATGCAAAAGTAAGCCAAGCTTGGAAGATAAGTGCCACAATGCCTGTCCAGTAAAATATGAGGCCCATCTCAAATTGCATGACCATGTCACCAAATCGGATGTGATATACAATAAAGGGAAATGTATGCATAAGTGCAAGGAGGAAAAAAGCGTAGGATATCCATCGGTGGAACACTTGGAGCTTCTCGTGCGAGACCCCTGTGATAAGTGTGATCCAGTTCGACTTGCTCGCCGTCGCGCTGCGAAAAATCAGTATTCGGAAGAATGTCTGCCAGGTCGCCTAGGTGGCCTACAAGACAAAAGGCATGCATGCCAGGGCCATCCACCCCGATCTTGTTCCCAATGGTGGAGAGCCGCCAAAATCCAAACTTGGCCAGTAGTATGGTTGGGGAATCAGATCCATGCCTGCAAAGCCAGTCAGTTAGTCCCGATATCGATGTCGCCCAACCAGGCTCGCCGTCGACCTACAGAAGAAGAAGATTGTCCCTACTGCTGCCAGGAGCAGAAGCCCCAAGGGGGCCGATTCCCATCGCAGTGCCTGGACGTGGAAGCCGCGGTAAGACAAGTATCGTGTTAATGCGGTCACTTTCTGCCATGGTGAAGAGCCGCGCCATATTCTATGTCCCAGCAAACTGCGAGACAATGTTGCTAATGACGAAGATGCCAAGGACGCTCATGAGAAAGGCGATGGTCGACAGCGCAAAGACGCGGTCAGCGATGAACCTTGTGAAATATCTGGTTAGTAATGTGCTGGGCTGTACATAGTTTCTGGACGGTCGATTTTCCTTACCAAAAATGCCAACGCTGCTGGTAGTAGTCGCACTGCTCTTGTGTGAAGCCAAAGCTGTCACAGGTAAACTCGCGACTCCCCGTCAGTGTGACGGGCGGAGTGAGCCAGGCGGCCGACATGATGAATAAATTTCGCAGCGAACCGACGACTCTTTGGTATGTATTTCACAGCAACAGAGAGAGCACAGCATTCATGTGCGATGCTGGCGTGAGGGTGAGTTGAATGGGCCAGCTCTGTTCGGGTGGTCTGCTGGCTATCACTGTGCAGCTCCAGTACCTCGTCCAGAAGCCGAATTTGCGTCTGTTCGTAACATATGTACAGAGTATACTATGATAGAATGCCGAGCCATGCTGATAACTTGGTGCTCGTACTCCGTAGCTACGCTACTCTGTATGTACTGCTCTTGGAGTGTGACACCAGGCCAGCGCCACGCATGGCCATGGCAATGTCAGTCCCACGAGCATCCAACCGCGGACACTTGGACAGGGGCAAGAGCGCAGCCCATTCGCTTAGAATCATACGGAAGCACATGGCCTGGATCCTGACCTCCTCCCGCTGTGGCCCGAGCCACACCCGCAGTACAGTAGCGCGACGAGTGGCTCTATTTTGAGCAAGTTTGCGCATTTAATTCTTAACTGCTGCTCGTTTATGCCCCCACCAGGTCAACGGTGTGTTGCCGCGTTGAATAGCGTCCTAACTACCTTCTTACTGTGGTGTGCATGGATTCTTTCACTTGCTTCAATGATAGAGCAAGAATTACGCGACTCACGACCAACCCCAAGGAGCTGGCGCCACCCAAAGCTGTCTGAACTATCAACCTGTCTAAAGGCACACGGAAGTTTGTCTCTTCCTGTGCCAAACGGTTTATTGTCTTCTATCATGTGACTCATGTTCCGACAGCCTGGCTCGATGGAGCGCTCTGGTTCCATACCCAGCCGCACGGTCGCTGTAGTATAGACGGAATTGTTCGCTCTTCTATTCATCTTCATAGCGAGTTTCTTAAAAAGTCACGGGTATTGGCTCTTTTTAATCCCGCCATTCATGCTCATCCGCCTGTCCAGACGAGGAACTCGGCACATATACACAGCAATCGCCAACATGGACTCAGCATCGGCGTCAATGGGCATGGCGATGGATGCTACTTCCAGCATGGCCATGCCCTCTTCAACAGCCGGTCCAATGTCAATGGAATCATCTAACATGACGATGAACATGGAGTCTATGGCTATGATGTTCTTCACCTCTACAAGCACGCCTCTTTGGTCCTCGGCTTTTACACCTACCACTACTGGGCAGTACGCCGGAGCATGCATATTTCTTATAGCTTTCACTGTGGTGTTTCGTATCTTGCTGGCATTGCGATTCAACATGTACAAGGTAGTGGCCGCGGCCAAAATGAGGCGTGGTGGTGGTCTTCTCCAGTCGGACATGACCGAAATCAAATCGACGCCCCGACCTTGGAGGGCCAGCGAGGCTATCATGTCGGGTGCGCTAGACGCAGTGATTGCGGGAGTGAGTTATCTGCTGTCAGTCTGAAATATTTCCGTAAAGTGACTCCCAAACCAGGCTGCTGACCTAGTCTTAGTATGGTAGCAGTTATGACGATGAATGTTGGCTACTTCATGTCGATACTTGGTGGTGTGTTCTTGGGCAGCGTGCTCTGCAGTCATTTGACAGGCAACACCGGGGGCCATTGAACGACTGTTCATCATCCTTCAAGAAAGCCGTCAGGACGGCTGTATAAAGGTGCTCTCCATTTGGGTTACTACACACTACCTAGTCTTGGAGAACTAGTGGTGGAGCCCATCCGCGGTTTGCGATATGTTGTGATGCGTTCTTCTCTTAGGGACGATCTCAATCATTATAGCAGCACCCAGGTGGCATTATGTGATAGATTGGGCTTTAACCATTAATTTCGCAACTACGGCTATGGATACAGCGAGCCGTTAACTTCCATTTTTCTTGATGTAATATACCATCTATGGTTCATTGATCACCTATTCTGAGCGTTTGCAGACCAAAATTCTGGTTCAGGCGCCATATTTATTAGGAAATATTATGACACCGTTGTTTTCGGCTCCATCTTTTTTCGACTTAGATTCATCCGTCGTGCCTGGCATACGTCATAAAGAGCCTATCCGCCTTTAGTCTCTCCATGTCCTCTTCCCTAAGACACACTGCCAAAGCGATTTCGCCATCATCTTTTCGAGGCATGAAATACACAAAACTTTGCAGCGGTGTGAACCATGGCCTGCGAACTGCCTCTGGCTTGCCAAGTCCTAAATTGAATTCCAAGGCGTAGCTGTCCGTTTTGGCCCACGAACTCACGATCACGTCGACTGAAAAGTCCAACGATGAGGCAGGTGAGACGTGCGACTTATCGGCTTGGCTGTGCAAGTAGGTAGCCAAAGCACGCGTGTGGAAGGGGAGGATAGTGGTATTGGATTCCAGGGCGGTTCGAAGCCTGGATGCTATCTCGCCCAGTGGCAATGCGACGAGCTCTTGTAGCGTGAAAGTCGTGTACGTCATATTCTGAACAATGCCTGGATAAGACGCTGGCACATCGACATAGGGGCGTACGTCAACAGCTCGCGCAAAAGTCGTCTCTACGCCGGGCGGTAAGCGATTGGCGCGCGCGCGCATGATGCTCTGCCAGATAAATGCGCTCAGCGCGTCATCAGTAGATACGTAGCTAGAACCACTTGGGAGAGTCTTGACAGCGATTGATTTCAGAGTTGCCAATGATGTGGGATGAAAGGTAAAACTTGCCCAGACACTCTGAACAGGCTCTGTTTCGCTCCTGTCATGACCGTTGCGAGATTTACCAGTGGCAGTGGTGGCCAGATGACGAGCAAGCTCGGGACCACGCTCATAGTTATCAAGAAGGGGAACAACGGTTTGGCGTTCGAGATTGCCACAAAATAGCTCGTCGGTAGTAAACGACTCATCATGGCAGGCCTTTGAGAGGAGATGCATAATCTGTCCTTGCCCCATGATGTCCATGGTCTGATGTTGGCCAAGGAACGTGAGCACCAAACCACCGACAATGAAATTTGCCTGTAGCAGAAAGACAGGCGAACTGGATTCGTGTCTATTGATGGCGTCGGCTGCAGGAAAGGTGTTGCGAGGCGCGATAACAGATTCTCTCAACATTCTCATTGGGAAATTGGCTTCTCTGAGCTCGATCATTGTCGGAACCGAGGTGTCTGCTCTAAGGTCTTTGACTGCCAAGTAGGGGATATCTCGCAGTTCTTTGATCTTAAAGACTCCAGAACTTCCAGCCCCTGAGCCCTCAACGACAACTTGGCCCGCTACCCATGGAAAGCTGGCCGTCAGCCGCTGAAGGCCAGATGTCAGCGTGCTCATGACAGTGGATTGCTCAACATCGTTTGGCATCGCAAAGCAGAGACATATTTGCGTGTGGATGTTGAGCCTCGGCTGCTGTCCAAAAATATCCAAGTAAATATCCATGTCTCTGGGTTGAGTAAATCTAGTCTCCGTACTTGTAGGCAGCGGTTCTGGTGAAGCAGGGCTTTGAACAAGTGCCACTAACTGGTTTCTGCGGGAAAGAAGCGGACCCTCCTACTGCACTTAAGGAATGATAAAGTAACACATCAAACGATTGGAACAGTTATTCGAGTATGGCCAGTTTTGACGCCTTGCCAGAATGCAAATGTTGGAGCCAGCGGATACAGTTAGTTTAGTCATAGCAACGGATGTGCTGGTGCCATAGATGTTTCAGGAGTGATTCAGAAAAGCAAGTGTGAAAGCGTCAGTGCCGATCGAGTGGGGAAATCAAGAGGACAACGGGTTACAGGAAACCAGTTTAGTGATCCTCGGGGTCGGACGCGAATACCGCAATGTCGTTGGCGAAGATCTAAGCTACAACAAACAAGCGACTAATAGATATTATGGGGATATAGTCACAGATGGGACCGGCACTTGCATATGGTGAGGAGTCCTTGTCTTGAAACGGCCTACCCTCGCAATCTGTTATATGCGCGCAAACTTGCTCAGCCCATTCCTGTCGCTCCGCTCCGAGTGCAACTTTTGTAAATTGACCGCCGCTTACGGAGTAGAAATGGCCTAGAACTACAGAGCATACACACTGACATCGCTGAGAGATCTGAATCGCAAGTTACAGAGAACAGGGGTTATCAGAAAACCTGCGCAGCTAAGAAGTTACGAATGCTCATAACCCATGTCGGCCGTCTACAACAAAAGCAGTGCGGGATGATGATATCAAACAGTAGCAGTTTACAGCTATAGATTCGTTCTCAGTGCTTTTTTGCCCCCGTTCAAGGAACCCTTCTGACGGAATCATATTTTACTTGACCCCTGGTACACACAACCACTCTCTCGGCACACAGACGACACAGCAGCAATGGAACGAAAGGTGTCCATTATTGGCGCTGGTCCGTCTGGTTTTGCCCTTGCGGCTGATCTCCAAAACCGTGGTATAGACGTGCTAGTCTATTCACATCCAGATCACTTTCGATATGCCAACGAAGTCATGGTCAAAGGTCAACTGACAGTCCGGGGAAAGATTGAGAGTTCTATGCCCGTATGCATCACCTCGGACATGGCTGAGATCATTGAATTTTCACTGATGATCATCCTGACGATTCCATCTACCGGGCACGAGACAGTGCTGCAGCAACTGAGAGGATTTTCTCTGCAACAACACACCATTATCGCCATACCAGGCAATTTGTTCTCGCTCATTGCTGATATCGAGATCGGATGCGTCCTAGAAACCAACTTGTCTCCATATTCCTGCCGAATGGAAAGAGATGAAGTGCTAGTTCTGGGCAAGAAGAGCCTCATATTTATTGCTGCACTCCAAAGTCCTCCTAGCCAGGCAATATACGACGCGGTTCAAGAGATTATGCCAGTGAAACTCTGCTGGTGCAGCAGTGTTATCGAAGTTTGCCTGCTGAACGTGAACGGCGTGTTCCATCCACTAATGATACTGATGAACGCGGCCCGCATCGAAAGCACCAATGGGGACTTTTTTCTGTATCGAGATGGCCTGACAAGTTCCGTTGCCAAGGCCATGATTGCGGTCGATCAAGTGCGGATGCAAATAGGCAACGCATTCGGCCACAGCATGAGGAGTGCGTTGAGAGTGTCCAACGAGTGCTACGGTCACACCTTTACAAGCCTAGTGGATTTAGCGAGAAATTCAGGGCCCCACAACGGACTCAAGGCTCCACCAGATCTTCAAAACCGTAACATCTCGGAAGATGTTCCTGACCTACTTGTGTGCTGGCACAGCCTGGCCGAGAAGCTTGGGATAGATGCATCGCCCATCAAAGCCATCATCGTCCTCGCTCAGATGGCTACCAGTGTTGATTATTTCCAGTCTGGGAGGAGCCTTCGAAAGCTCCATCTGGAAGACATCTCCCGGAGTGAGCTAATTGAAAGATTCATGGCTCAACCAGACGGCGCGATTGTCAGTAGGTTGTAACTTGTGAATCAAGGCAAATTCGAGTTGGTATTTAGCCACAGCACAACGTATCAATGGGCGATAAGGAATGGATCGGCTTGCCGACCCAATTCACGAGCAGCCTGTTCTGCTACGGATCTTTTGGCAGGTATTAGATGACACAGTATATCGCATAGACATAGCAAATTTACCACAGGTTTGTCTTGACCATTGTGAAACGATCCACAAGTTCGCATTGTTAAAACTTTAAACTGCAAAGCCTTATTCTTCGAATCTTTGCGCCGTGCGCAGCCAAGATCCAAAGGAGTGGTGCGAGAGCAAATGCGATCAAAGCCAGCAGGGAGTTTCCCCATCCCCAGCCCAATGTCTTATACAAGTTCAGACCACTAAGAGGAATAAGCGCCCCGGCGAGACCTCTGAGCGCCGCATTGGCGCCATTGACACTGGCGGAGTAATTCTCGAATGCGTCGATTAAATAAGTTTGGACGGCTGTGAAAATTAGAATGTAGCCGAACCCCGTCATGGCTGTTCCAACTTGAGGAACAACCCAATGAATGTGTTTTTCCACCCCCCACCCATACAAAAATATCCCAAGTGAAAAACTTAGGGATCCAGGAACTGTGATGAGGAATGGAAGGCGGTCCTCCGGCGTAATCATCCTTGCGGTGCGAGCCCGTTTCTCTAAAGTCTTGTCGCTGAAATATGCAAGATATACGAGACCTGACAAGGTCCCAATGCCGCAAGCAATAAAGACTAGCCCAGAATCAAAAGTAGAAAAGTCGTAGACTTGTTGGAATATAATTGAGAATGTAGAGAAAAATATGTAGATGATGCTGTACAGAACACAGACGTAGACGCAGCTGGCCGTGACGACTGGGCACAGCAAGAGCATTTTGGAGGGCCGCATGATGCTTTGTATGAGAAGTGCTTGGAGGCCCAAGTGAGAAGCGAGCCTAGATCTATAATTGAGATTTCCAGTTTCTTTTCTGAGTCGTCTTGCCTTCCTTTCCAGCAGGACTGGAGGGTACGTCTCTCTTAAGATGGCAAGAGCCACGATTGTAACAAGTCCAGCCTGGAAATTATGGTCAACGTGATAAGCTCTTTGACAAATCAGTAGCTTGGCAACGGCTTACTATGATTGAGATAATCCAAAAGATCCATCTCCAGCCAAGAACCTCCGCCACATAACCACCGATGATAGGACCAACCATTGGACCAACCACGGTGCCTACAGCCCAGAGCGACACGGCCTTTCCTCTTTTCTCTCGAGGCATGATATCTGCAATGCTAGCAGGGCCTATCGATATTGTAGCCACGCCTGCAAACCCCGATAGGAACCGAAAGCTCAAGAGCATCGCTTCACTGTGTGAGAGGGCACACAAGATCGTGAACCCAACGAACAGCACACCTGTTATGTTGTAGACGATGACACGACCATACAGCTCACTGAGTGGCGGGAGAATCAGCGGTCCAACAGCGAAACCTAGTACGAATATTGACAAGACAAAGGTCGGAAATGTCGTTGAGCTAGAATGGAAATCTGCCAATATAAGCTCCACCGCTGGGGCGACTACCGATGATACGAGTGGCCTGCTAAGGGTTAGCAAAATGCCCCGAGCCGTGACTCGAGCTGTCTGGCCGCTGTCGGCTTTTACACCTACACCAGGAAACTCATGACGGAGATGGTCAGAATGTTGGCCCATTTCTTTGTCGAAGGCCAGTTCATAGGATTCTCGGGATCTTGATCTTCTGGCTCGTCCCACCAAACAGAGAGCGAGACGCCCGATTCAAGTTGGTGTCTGACATTGTCCAAATCAGAGCTTGTCGAAGGACTGACAGGGTACGTAGCTCCCACTGATTCAACGTTGGTATTGCCTTCCTTGCCAGCCTGCTCTATGTCTTGCAAGGACCCGGGGGGAAACCGCAATGTTGACATGTTTATCCTCCACGCCCTTCAACACGGCCTCAAAAACAAAAAGATGGGTTGGCTCCAGGGTAAATAGATCTCTTCTACAACAGTCTGCACAAAGAGCTTTAAGTGCCTGGTAATAAGGATATCACTCACGACCAATCATGTTGTTAAAAGGTTACACCCCTAGCGGTCAATAAGGTCCGCCGGTATCATGTCCCAGTAATAATGCGCTGGATGCCCGCCATAAATAGCAAATCCTCCCCAGCCACTGCCGCAGTGCCATTGCTTACTTGTCAGAGGGCGGGTCAGGGTTGCTACTAATACATAACCCAACAGAAAGGGAGAGGCATGGCAAGAAGTACTACCATAGCATTCGGTCCAGACAAACAGAAATCAATTCTATTACTGAATAATCTCCGGGGCTTTACAGTACAAAGACACCCCCCAGGGCTTATGCTTTAACAGCCACTGTGACCAAAAGATCTATGTCCATATGAATCCCATCCTCCACTAGAAGTTTATTCCATTCCGTCTTCATTTCCTCCCTTGCGCGTGGCCGGAGTTCCAACGGGATGCCGCCGTACGTTTTCCCGGATGAGCTTGCATCTAACCAGTCAATCATTGCATCTGCATCCTTGGTCGACTTTGTGATTTTGTTAACGACGATACTTCTTTCTCGGAACCCAGCATTGTCTAGAAGAGTTTCGAGCTCACGCTGCTTGAGAAACTTGGGTGGACTTTCTTCCGGATACTTTCGGTATGGCTCCCTGGACAGGACATCGGCTTTGATCCTCTCTTGGGCGGTGAGTGTATCGCCTGATCCGCCTGAAATGCCAAGTAGCCCTCCTGGCTTGAGCAGGCGGGCGAACTCCTTCAATGCTGCTGGTTGGTCCTGTACCCAATGCAGGGTTGAGTTCACGTAAATTGCGTCAAAACTCTCCGAAGGAAACTGCGATAAGTCTTCGGCTTGCCCCTCCGAAAACGAAAGATTCGGCTTCTGGATCCTCCGTGCAATCGTAATGCGTTCCGTGCTGGGATCAATACCCACCACATTCCCTCTCTCCCCGACAACCTCTGCAATGTGAGCTGTGAGATTTCCAGGTCCACACCCGACATCGAGAACTTTCATGCCAGAGATAATATTGAGCCTTTCGAGAAGAAACAATCCGGCGCCATACTGGGTGTTGTTAACCCGAGTGTATTCCGTCGCCAGCTCTTCGGTGTCTCCCATTGTACTAATCCTGGTGTAAATGCCTGGGTTAAGTCACCGGAAATAGTCTGGTGTATTGGAACACTCTCTCGGGACAATATGGGCGAGTATACTTATAGAGACCAAGGGGACGGCAAACAGAGCTGTGACAAGCTCTGCGCCTAACCATATTACTCATTCAATCATGCTCACGAATAAAATCACTCAACCCACTACCGTTTTGAATCCTGCATGGGTGAAGTCAAAAGCGTACTCTAGATTTCACAGAGTGCAGCAATAGCGGCCACATGCGGGGTGTTGATGTGTATCCAGATCGAGAAAACAAGAACCCACAAAAGAGAGCTGTTTTGAGCTCTTTTCCTCCCCACTCTTTTTTTCATCTTTTCATGCAATGCAACTATACTATGCATCTTGCGTAACACGGGGCAGCAGACGAATCATTCAATCGCTCAGAGCTGCCATGAACCCCCACTACGGGAACTGGCGTGCCGCGTAGAAACGAGAGAGTAATCACCTCGTAGTATCAGACCTATCCACATCCCCATGCCCATCGGCTCCTAGTATTCACCTAGCTAAATGAGCGAGGGTTCACCAGGTGCACTTCTTAACTGCAAGGTGACCTTTTCTATGGTGGAATTTGGCTATGTGGCTACATTAACTCCTACACCCTAAATATCTGCAGCCCCAAGCCAAGATCTGCAACAAATCGAGAAGAGTATTCCTATAATCATCGCATTTTAATCATGCTGATTCAAATTCTCTCTGTCAACTCGGTTGTGTCTGCGCTCTCTGTTCTCGTGAGTAATTCCAATCAACGCCGCAACGTTTGCTTATTCTTTTCAGCTCATCACCAGTCTCTTTATTCGGATTCTTCAAAATCGAGTTTTTCACCCACTACGTTCAGTTCCTGGACCTTGGCTCAACAGCCTCTCAGAATTGCCTGCTGCGATAGCTCTTGTGAAGGGAGACCAGCACCTTTACTACAAGTCTCTGCATGAGAAATATGGCTTGGTCGTGCGAGTGTCTCCCAATGAGCTAAGTTTTATTGGCACAGATGCTCGAGAAGAGATCTATGGGTTTCGCGTAAGTGCTTCAAACCCCAACAATGTCTCCTGCTGAATCGTGATCATAAAGAAAGGCGGACCTCTCATGGAGAAGAGTCCCATATTTCTCGGGGCCGTGGGAAGCATGAACGGAGAAACTGGTGTAAGCCTAGCACTGAACAAGGAGCATTCCCGCCAACGTAAGGCTTTGGGTTATCTGTTCTCCAACAGCGCTTTGGCCAAGCTAGAGGACATACTTCAAATTCATGTTCAAAAACTCGTAGCCGTACTGGAGAAGGGGGCATCTGAGAACCAAGCTGTGAATGTCTCAGACTGGTGTATGCTTCCGCACGTCATGATATTCTGCGATTGCCCCACCGGCTGACAATGGAAGCAGACACATACCTTGCATTTGATATGATGGGCGACTTGTGCTTCGCTGAACCTTTTGGGTGTTTGGACCAAGCCTCGGCTACAGAGTGGTCAACTTCTGTCATCAACGTTTTCGTGGCGGCTACGTGGACACAGGGCATACGCCGAATATCTGGAGTTGGCACATGGCTTGAGCGTCTCATGACTCGGCTTCTGGTTCCTACGAAGGCTTCATTATGGAGATCGATCCATTTAAACAATTCACGCGATAAAACGGTTCGTCGCCTGCAAGACCCTAACAGAAATCATGCAGACTTCATGTACCACATTCTCAATAGCGAGTCTAAAAACTTGTTGTCCAAGACTGAAATTCAGTTGAATATGGCCTTATTCATCAGTGCTGGAACTGACACAACGGCTACGGCTCTTGTCGGGTGGACATACTTCATTTGTACTCACCCCAACGTGTACAAGCGACTTACAGCGGAGATTAGAGACGCTTTTATGGCCAACGACGATATCAAATGGGAAAAGGTTAAAAATTTGAGGTACCTCGACGCAACATTAAACGAAACTCTACGTCTTTTCCCACCGTCACCTGCAAGTCAGCAGCGTGTAGTCCCTCCAGGAGGCGCCATTATTGCTGGGTATTATGTCCCTGCAGGAACTACAGTGGCCGTGCCTCCATGGGTATCAACACACTCGCACGTCAACTTTATAGAACCTGATACTTTTAGACCAGAAAGATGGCTAGGAGAGGATGCTGAGTTTCAAGATGACCGCTTAAATGCTTCACTACCATTCGGAACAGGACCTAGGGTCTGCATTGGGAAGAACCTAGCAAATCTTGAGATGAGGCTCATTGCCTCCAAAGTACTGTGGAACTTTGATATTGAACTTGACAGAAGTAACTACGAGACGGCGAATCAGCAGTGGGGTCTAAGCGGTCAAATGATGCCTATGAAAGTGTTTCATTCAATGACAAAGCTACCACTATGGATTAAACTAAAAAAAGTGAATTTATAATTTTTCATTGTCATGTTACGACCTTACTTTTAAAATCATGGCAATAGACTTATTGGGTAGGCGTCTTTTGTGACAAAACGAGTACGCTATAGCTCCAAAAGGAGAGTTCTTTCCGTGAACAATCATGTAGAAATCTTATCAACCTCGAAGCCATCATCTTAACTTTAGTCGCAAAGGGGTTTTGAGAGAGCGTTTGCAAGTGAGCAGCTTTCAATGATTCCGACAATATTTTCGCCAGTACATAAGCAATTCTCTTTTTAAGGCCAACGACAACATCGTTGCTATTGTACCTGCGGTAGGCGCTTAGATTTTCTACCTCAATGTTGCTAACAGGTGCGCCCTGCCCGGGTTCACCGCCCCAGAGCGCTCAATCACTCTATGGCGTTTCAGCCCTTTGTATTTGTGTTAATAAAAACTTGAGACGGCTTTCCATGTCTCGTAAAAGCAATGACAACTCGGACATCGACGTAATGTATCTATTCGCTCCTCCTAGAGGGTAATACTCATATTTGTTAGATGTGGCATATTCAAAGACTTCAATAGACCAGAAATCTCGGTGCGTGGCGGCCGATTGCTAAAGTCTGCTGTCTTAGAAAACTTGAGTTCGGTGTAGAAGTAACTGCGAACCCAGCCATAAATACCGGAGTCGCTAGGATATCAGTGTGATATTATTAAAATACTTCCAGCGAGATCGTACTTATACTCCTCCAGGTATTCAACCATATATTCTTCCGCAGCTGAGGATCTCCCTGCTTAATGTGTCTGGTGCTTTTTGGGAAAAGCTCCCGCCAGTTCAGCTGCCCACATTCACCTATTCCCATCCAGTCGCTAAATATCAATCTGACTAAAAACCGGTATATCTAAACCAACCACACCGGCATGATCTGACTGTTACGGAAGAGAGTTGGTTGTTGAGCATCGTCCTTGAGATAAGACTCTTAGCCTAAGAGATCAAATTTATAGCACTAAATGGAAATACGCCGAACAGTTTGGCAGCATCATAAGAGCAGCTATTGAGGAGTTTCCGTAGTCCGGGTAATACGGCCAGCACTGTAAGTATTGCATTAAATATCGAAGGCATTAATAGTTTTATATTATCGTATAGTATCGAGCGTCCGACTATTTGGAATATAGAAATATATCATATTGATGGGGAGGAAGCAAGACATAATTATGTCTCGAACTTTTTGCCTTATTTCTTCCAGTCTACTGCACACAAGAACCGGGGCTTGGCTTGCTTCTCCATGGTAACTTCGCTTCTGCGAAAGCTTCTTCCTACGGCATGGGCTTGTGAGCTAATGGCCAGCATGATCGACACAGTTAGCTTCCTATTGGGCTCTCCGCTACTAAAACTATAACCCCTTGTCTGTGCGGGGTAGTGCGAGCACGAGGTCTGTGCGTAGTGTATACTTGTAAGGGATTTACTAACTCCAATTTATACCCGGTCCCTGGCGAATCCTACTGAAGAGGATCCCCCGGATGGACACCACCGGTCGTGCTTGGCACAAATGTCGAGAGCCTGCGTGGAGATGAGATAGCTAGAGGGACATTACTCTCTCAGGCGGCCTTTCGTAGAGATAGTGGTATATTGTTGTTACTTGATGGACGCAATAGTTCCCGAGATTGTTAGCTCACTACTGCTGTATTTCATTGGTGTCAGGTAGCGTCCGACACTTTCCATGCATTATTCTTCCATCATTAGCATAAACATTTTATGAATCCCCAACAAGGCCTCCTCCAGCCAGACTCACTCCGATCATGGATCGTTCAACTGCTCCTGACTCTCGTTATCAAGGTCCATATTGGCCTCTTTGTACGACTGCCTCATCATGTTCTTGCTAGAATATGCTCTTGCATGTGTCCCTAGCCCTTCTCGGCCGCCGCCTCGTTTGTTGGACCCTTGTGAAAACTCAGACAAGACGTGAATATCCAAGCGATTGTTGCCGTTGGTCTTGTGCATATCACTCGACGGTATTTTATTGCCGTATGGCCCCCGGCTCCGTGACAAAGGTTGTGAAGATGCAAGTCCCAGTTTCCACCCTAGCTCCTTAACTAATGGTCGCAGCGTCGCCATACTTGCAGCACTAATAGCCAAACCCATTTCAACAGTTGACCAGATGGCAATGTCGGTGGTCGCATCTGAGTAGACTTGAATTAGCAACAGCTTCGGGCAACACGAATAATAGGCAATCCCCACATAGAAAATCTGGATTCGTGAACGTGTGGGTATAAGCAAGTCGTACAACAACAGCAGCGCTTGCCCTAGAATGCCATATTAGCACGGAGGATATCTTCTAAAAGCTTGCGGTCTGTCGTATACTTACACACAGCCTAGCGCAACCAAGAAGATCAGCGCATACCTGGCTTGTGCTCTTAGATTCAGATTCCAGATAACGAATGCTGGCAGAATCGCAAATGTAAAGTCCGTGATAATGGTGGAGATGCTGTCAAAATATACCAGGGCCATTATGATACTGATTTGAATGCAACTACCAGGTTGAGACCTATCCCAAAAATAGGAAACTGGGTGGCACTGAAAAAGCGCAACGAAGAAGAAAACAATGCGAGGAAGGATGGAGCATAAGGCTGCTGCATATATGATCCAACTATGTAATCTCGTGGTTACGATACGAAGCAAGAACCAGCCAAAAGAGATTTTAATAAAGATCACAATGACGCTGTAAAGGAGATAACAAAGCCACCAGAACTAGCAAGGTCAACTCTCTCCCATATTTAGCATCACGGGGTTGGAAATGGTTACGGTGGCCGTTGCATTGCACATACCATCAAGGCCTTTTCCATATTTTCCAACTCGAGATTGTACATATGTTGGCCTGTTCCATAGTATACACCGGCGCTTGATATGCAACAGTACGCTATAAATACAGCCTATGCAACTGTTAGCCAAAAAAGATCATTTTGTGCCGTCAGGAAAATGTTTGTTCCTCACGCGCGCCACGTACCGTTGCTGCAAACATTAGCCAGTCATCGGCACCAAATGCCTTGACAATGAAGGCACGGGTATATCCCCTCAAAATAACCGTGATGAGGGCCACAATTCCGAAGAAAATGTTGACGGCAAGAAGTTGAGGCCCGCGGTTGTCATGATTCAGGTTTTCCATAATCAAAGGGTTGTAATCATTAGGTCTTTGGCCGGTATATGTGTAACATAAAGGGGAGAGATCTTTGCTCCATATTAGATTCACAGAAAGTGGACCAGGCTTGTACGTATGATTTATATGTAGTTTGTATGTGGTGCTCATAGAAATTAAGAAGCTGCTTGACGCTTTGTCATTTTGATTGAAACGCCGAACACAATATTAGTGAGTACGAAAAGGGTGTACACTGCGAGGTTGCGCACTATGGCGTTGGCTAAATTGGCGTGCGGGACCTCAATACCCCGCCGCTCGACTATCGCAATTGAAGTTGCGTGATACTGCCTTGCAAGAACAGATGTGTATTATGGTAGACATGAGTAGAAGCAGCTGTCAAAATTAGATAATTGGAAACGATTGTTCTCGCCGACACTATCAGACGAAGCAGATAGTGGAGATGCTGAAGGAATGGGGCCAGGCCACACGGGTTTAGTTTCAGCCATGGAGGTCCCAGGGTAAGGCATCCTCTCAACTGATTCTGGCCCTGTAGTGCTTGTTAGAAGATATGCTATAGGAGAGATTTTGGTTAATATCCTGCTCAGCCAAGCTAGTTTTATCTTAACAGTAATAGAACATACGTTGTGATTGAATTCGATGAGGTCCATGATACGCCAGTACTGCGTTGCTTGTACAATCCTTCCAAACAAAAACATTAGCCACAGACAATTTATTTCCGGTTGAGTTCGATTCCCTCTTCGCGCCGCAGTTTAGATCAGATCCAGCTATGGCCATGAAGTATTGGGCTCCACAGAGGGTTCAACAGGTGACCTTTTAGCTCTGCCAGTGGATCCTACGTAAAGTTTATTTCAGCTCCCCAGAGGGTCTATTGAAGACCGAAAGGATGATAAAACGTCTAGCCCCTGAGCTAAGTTCGCCTACGCAGATGTTTGAATTAGCCCCTGGACGAACCTCTTATGGAAACCATACTTAGGGGCGGGTATTAGTCTTTGGGAGGTCTTGTAAGCCGATCTAACCTAGTCTAGCTTGTCGGACATCCAAGAAGTAGGGTCCAAACAGGTCTAAATACCTTGTTAAAACGTCCGCAATAGCTGCTGCGCTAATAAGGGTCAGCTAGCTAGATTATCCTACAAGTATTCGATCAAGGTTATCCTGTTTGATCAAGGTCATGCTGTTCAATCAGGGCCATACTGTTTAATCAGGGATATGCTATCACTTAAACAGCAAAATGATTACCACTCCTAAGATGATGTTTGATCCATCCTGGCTCCTTAGTCCCCATGCACCAAGCAACCCGCGCATCCCAACTCGTCTCTTCTAGGCGGTTAGATGGGCTAGACATACATCCTGATGAGCGAGGATTGCCTATACCTTGAAGAAGTGACGTAAAAGAGGTATAAATATTCCCTCGTGCTGTCAAAACATTGTCGGGGTACGAAATCTTAGCGACAAAGACCATCACCAATCGTATGATCGCGAGCTGGATAAAAAGAGTAGGTGAGATCATGGGTCTTCAATACGAAACAATGCCTACAGCCTGCGCCACAACGCAGCTAACGAGTTTAACTAAAGCCGTAAGTTCCCAAATTCAACGTCAGAGGACGCCCCTAAAGTTTGCCGCAATAGCCGACATGAGCGAGGCGATCCGGAGCTTATTCCCTGACCACGCCAACTCTATGCCTTTCCTGAAGTACCATCTTAGTCGGATTGTCAGGGCTGATCCATGGGCTAGTATTTGCGGCGAAAAGTCACAGCACGTATTGATCGGGCTTGCTTCATCGGTCACTCCATGAGCAAACAGTGGCCAACAGTCCTCACGGCTGACCAAACAGGGTCCGTCGCATCTAATCCCCATGTCCAACAGTTTGCAATTCAGTTGCGTAAATTACTTCCAGAATCAGAACAGCACAACAAGTCCCAGCGAGAGTTGCGGTTATTAAAGCAGAAGCTGAAAAGTGAGCTGAAACAGAAGACTTGAGACGACTGTACAGATAAACAGGCTGTGTATGACATTGAATACCAACTCCAAGGCGTCGACATTACACAGTCAGTTATAGATGAGGCAATCCGGACTCAGCGGCCGGCCAAAAGTTGCTGATGAAGGTACTTACAGCTCCAGTTGGTGAGACTCTGAAGGGACGATACCAACGCAGGGATAATGCAATTGAAGCCGTATATTCATATTGCAGCATTGAGGAAGGACCATTTGTCTGACCGTGTCATAAGTCATCAACGACGAAGGTTTCAGGCAGAACGTTAATGAGCTTTCGGATGACGATCCTCTGTTTCTTATAACTATGTCTAATTTGTTGATAGTCCGAAACAAAGGCCAAGGAGGTGTCTCCATGCATTGGCGCCACTCTCTCATTGCCACGGGACGACCCTCCTGCGGAGGACAGGATTGGAGAATTCTACACACCGGATGATTTGAGTAAGCACTTCCGTCGGACACACCTGCTCAAGTTGCAAGACAATGATCGACCAGTATGCCAGGTCTACCACACAAACATATTATTGAGGGGATTGTCGTCTCCAAGTCCAAAGAACTGACTGGTGTTTGTACTAGAACTGCTCGTGGCTTGTGGTCGCTCTTCAGCTAGCGAAGGGCTAGATCTAGCTTGATTTTCAGGTCATCGTCGTTTTTCTATGTAAAACTGATCGCTGGAGCTGGGACTTCGGCGTCTGAAAAGATTTATGCGAGGTGAATATCTCGATGGAGGCATTACCATCGCGAACGGGTCAACGTGCTCCTCGGGAATATGACTACGCGCCTGCATGTACGAAACCTGGCTGTTGTTTCTTAAGCGTACGGCGCCATACAATTGTGGGCCTACAACTAAGTAAAAGTAGAAAGGAAGATCGAGTTTCGCCTCGAGTATGGGGCCATATGGTTGCTGTGCGGCAACTTAAGCGAAGTGAATTGATTAACATACATAGGGTGCAGCCAGTGACTCTTCATATCCAAATGCGAGACATATGTGAGATAGAGCAAAACTGCCTGGGAGGTGCCACTTCTATTGAGAGAAAAGCATCTGAGATTTAGCTAGGGAAAAGGAGAAACCAGGCCAGGATGCTCCAACAATTTGAGTGTAAGCTATGTGTCAATGTAAAGCCCCTTGCTCATTCTGACCCTGCAAAGAATATAGCCACTCGGGACACGGCCGATGTTCATCAAGAAGCTGAAAATAAGTTAGGCAGCATCATATCATACAACAGGGTGCCCTTTTGGTACATGAGTCTGCAAACTTGATGCGAAGCGCTTGGATTCAGATGTGCCGTAAGCAACAAGACAATCTCAGCACTTTGGATGGAGATGGCAGAATTCCGAGTACGTTTAAGAGGAAAGAGTGCACCAAATGGAAGCGCTAAAGTCAGGCCCGTGTAGCAATTGACTAAGACATTTAGCATAAATCTTATTATATGCCGAGGAAAATTGTAGCGCACTGTGTTGAAATGCTAATATTCGCTCTAGCTGCAACATTTTCCTCTGCTATGCTTCATCCTCTGTAGTATTCTTGCCTTTTACCGAACACAAAGGAATACCAAAGCAACCAATCGCTGTTACTGAAGCCATAACAGTTGCCACTAAAAGTGTCTGGGTGATAGAGAGGTTATAAGCTGGAAGTATCTCATTTAACTCCTTCTTAGTAAAGCTCAGCTTTAGAGTTAGTACTCCAACTTTTTGAACGAGCTTTGGGTCAATATTTGGCGCCGCTTTGTGTAGGTTATACATTAATTGATTCGTGAAAATGTTTTGTGCGGAAGAAAGGGCTACAATCCCTCCCAAGTTTTGTATAAAACTGACCAGCACTAGGGCAATCGGAAGGTCCTTTCCTGAGAAATTCGTTTGGGTAGCGATGATAGGCTGCTGAAACCCGAGCCCAATGCCGAGGGCAAAGATGATTTGGTATATAATCCATAATGTCATTGGCGTGTCGACGCGGAACGTTGTCAGCATGCCTGCGCCAAGCGCCATCAATATGGATCCAAGACACATGGTTGGAGTATAGTAGCCGATGATACTAGTTATGCTCCCTGAGATTATGATAGAAACCACTAGAGACAATACCAGCGGAAGACCGCGAACGCCGCTGCTGAATGGCGAGGCTCCTTTCACTGCCTGAAACCAAATTGGGAGCTGTTTATAAGTCAGTGAGCAACATGGCATATATCGTAATTCGGTCGAACTTACATAATATACCGCAACATACAGCGCCCCAGAAGTGTTAAAGGAATAAAAAGCTCCAAAGAGAACAGTCCTAGTAAAAAATATTCTAGGAGGCACAGTGGCCTCCTCTCCTTTCCGGTATTGGTTAACCCCGAAGGCAAAGAGAAAGCATCCGGAGATTATAAACAGCACAAAGACCTTCCAGTTGCTCCAAGCATAATAAGTTCCACCCCACTGAAGTGCCAAGATCAGACACACAATGGCTGGTATAAACAGCGCGAGGCTGGGTAAGTCGAGGCGGCGAATTTTCTCTTTCAGAGTCAATGTTGATTGTTCGGGGCTTTCTTCGTTGCCCAAGAAGAGTATTGTAATAACAATAGTTAGGCCTGCAAGGGGTAGAAGAAGCCAAAAGCACCACCTCCATCCCAAAGTCTCTGCTATCGCGCCGCCGAGCAATGGCCCAATCGAGATGGCCAGGCATTCAATCGCCCCAATAATGCTGGAGTAGACTGGTCGCAATCGAATTGGTACACACCGAGATATGATAATGTTTGTACCAGCTAATATTCCCGCGCTTCCCAAGCCAGAGATGGCGCGGCCCACGATGAATGAACTGCTATTAGGCGCAACGGCGCATATGAGGCTCCCTACGGCGAATGTGAAGACAACGGTAGAGAAGACAATCTTAGCTGGGAGAAAAAGATATAATTTTCCGTAGAAGAGTTGTGAAGATGCCGAAGCCAGTAAGAAGGCAGCACCATACCAGCCAACGTCGTTGAGTGAGTTGAATCTGTCCGTCACAACCGGGATAATAGTCGTCACGCAATTAGCGTCCTATTCCAAAATTTAGCAAAGATTAGACTTAATCGCATAGCGTGGCATGTTCCGCATACATAGCCGCATACTATAGTTGCTAGTATTATTGAAAGAAGGTTGAGAAATAACGGTATACCACGAGGATACTTTGAGCCCTCTTCAGTCGGAGCATTTTCGGGGGTTGAGTGTTTGGCTTCCGTCGTTTCTCTCTTCGGGATTTCCATGATTACAGCTAAATAACGAAGCAAAGTCTTTGTGTATTCAATTATTACAGCCACATAACGACGTAAACCCTACCCAAGCCCGTCCCTTATATCCAAATTATGGTAGCCTTGACAGCACACTTACACGAACTCGTGTTAGTGGGGGCACGGACCAAATTGGCCAATCGGACCTCTACTCCGATCGGAGCTCGGAGTGACAAGGGTGCGTTCTGGGACGCGCATCACGGACCTCGGCCTTGTTACCTTTATGCGCCCGTTGGCTGAATGATGGGTTTGAAAGGCTGTTGATAAGGGCATGCCTAGAGGAAGTCGAGATGCTCCGACTCTGCGGCGAAATACATCAATTCCAATGAATGAACTATGGTTTTCGCTTCTTGCGTAATGAATTGGTAGACGGTCTCTCGTTTAAGGTTCCTACACAAAGAATACACAGCCGTCTACGCTACACCACCTAGTCTTGTGTACTTTATTCAGGGCGGGTCATCCACCAAGTAGTAAGTAATGAAAATGGAGAATGGAATGACTCATTGAGCAAAGTGACCCAGACCAGGTTCCGGTAAAAAGGCTTATGAGTAGAAGTGAGTACTTTAGATACCTTAATGAACGGAGGTACCTAATACACTCCTCACTACTTTATCACTTGATCCGAATTTCAGCAACTTTGGACGCCCTAAACATACATAATCGCGATCCATCATGGAGAAACTGAGTTTTTGGGTAGCTTTGTTGTGACTAATTGGTCGGGCTTCAATGGCTCCTCTGCTTGTTTGGGTGTATCATCTGGTTTGATGAATAGGACAAGACTGCGAAATAGCTAAAACATTAAGAATCTTTGTTATAACACTTAGCATAAGCAATCAGATAGGCTTGAGGCTAGTTAGGCACTGAAGATACGGATTTTTGTATGTAATATTCAGTATCCAAATGTGCTGTCCTGGATATTTGTAATCAATACTGTGTAAAACCCAATTTGAACCCGGATAACAGGCTTTAATTGTATCCTACATCGTGCCCATTTCCGACTTTCTAGTCTTCTTCGTAGTTAAGAACATCGCAGCTTGACTCATGATCAGTCATGATATTAGCTGGCCCACTACGACAGCGTCGTATGCCGCGTCTTGGGTGCATTTGATGGCGGAAGGAGCGAGATCGACCGCGGGGCTGTGCCAAGTGCGCTCAATCTGAAAGTCAAGCCCGCTAATCTCAGCTTTAAGTAGATTTGCCATGATATCGACTGCAGACTCATATTTCTCTAGGGTTACCTCTGATAGGTGGCGAAGATTCATTGTAAAGCTGGCCTGGCCAGGTATTGTATCTAAAGGCGGCTGTTCCAAGTTAAGTAATTCCACTATTACGACCAGGCATCTAATGAGGGCTTGCCTCTCGAGGAACGCGATGCATTTCGCTGTCGCAACTAAGGCATCTATCTGCACGCTCTTGCATCGGAGTTGTTCCGGCAGGGTCGCGACGGCCTAAAACTTGCACTTAATCCTACCGAATACCCTGGACTTTTGTCGCAATGCCAATTCTCCTGCTAGAGATTACAATGGAAGAGGTCATCGACCGTCCAACGCCAGAAGGCCACACGCAACTCCTTCTAGCGAAGCGGAAGACAAAAAGGTTTGAGTCAAGGAATCGATAAATGAATTGAGTTGAAGCGATTTCCGACAAATGGATGGTGTCAAGAGCCAGCTTGCCGTCTCACCGCTATCAGTCTCAAATACGCCAGGACTTGACCTGCAGCTAGAGGCGTGAGATGTTCATTTCACGCTTTGTCACCTTATAGATTCACAGAATTTCAGAGTAAGCTATATATAAAACTTTAATTTTGCTTTGAAGCATACGGTCTTACCAGCTTCAGTAGCAGTAATCGTCAAAATCTCCAAAAAAATTTGCAGGAGGTTTTAGCATCTCCAGCCATGGTTCCTCTTGGAAGTCAACAGTATCCAGCCATGCTGCCCACTGCAGATCTTGAGTGATAGTTTCCGGATTTTGAGCCTCAGGAAGCTCTGCCGACGGCGCATCGCGCATGTTTACGGTTGGACTATCCGGCAGTAAACGTGCTAAAGGCATCTCATGATTTAGGATCTGGTCCAGAGCCTTTGAGAAGATCAATTGAGCCTGCTTACAGAGCTCATAATTGCTCTTTCCCGACTCAGTTAGCCAGTCGCAGCACGATATGAGAACGCTGATGTCCTGAATAATGGTCGACCTGTTCGAAGCGACGGAGGGCTGTGGTTTTGGCAAGCTGGCTAGTCGAAACAATTCCAGAATCAAGACACTCGCGCACGGCATCGCGTAAAATACTATCTGCAACGGGTCAGTTCGCACCAGCAATGCAAGCCTGGAGCTACTTACCGTCCATTCCAAATCGATCCTATGGGACCCTATGATATCTCTCTTCTTCATTACTGAGAGCACTAGCCCTAGGGTCTCGTGGGAAATTTGAATCAACGCGTGACGATAGCCACTGCTTTGATTCACTAGCATCTTGTATAAAAGAAATTTGCTATAAAAATACTCAAGTTTGAGGCTCAGAAGCATCAAAATGGTTGAAGGTGCCATCCGGTCCCATAGGGACGGCTCATACTGCATGAAGTGAGGCAGAGTCTCCCAGGTCGACGATGATCGAGTTAGTATTCGCCTGAATAAGCATGTCAGCCAGTCAGTTTTTTTTAGTTTTTTTGTTTGTTTTTTTTTTTTTAAAAAAAAAAAAAAACAGAGGGGATTGGTCTTTGGATAATTGCTTACTGGGCTTTATGAACCAGATCTTGAGTTATGGTTCCCAGTGACAACTCAAGAACTTCTTCACGGATCGAGCTTAGCCAAACGATCGCTCGTTGACGAGACGCTGGATGTACAGTCATGTCTTTATTCCAACCATCACCGTCTAGTCGCGATATTTGTAGCTCTAACAGCTCGCCAGACCCGACAATGGCTGAGTCTGAGAGGTCAAGAGGTAATTCTATGTTACAATAGCTCCTATTCAAGCGTGGTGGGCGACCGACAAACGTCGCCAGGGACTTATCCAGCTCGTGTGATAGGGCAATGGCACGTTTTCGAAGCTCGACCAAGTATGCTGGGGTATTCATGTCATCTTGAAAGCCCCTGTGGTAGTTGAGGGCGAATATGGCGGACGATAAATTCCCCATTAGACGCCAGGCTTGACAAGAATCGTCACCAAAACACCAGGTGGAGAGTGTGGTGGCCAGGATCCCAAGCCACACGGATAGGTCGTTCATTTGGCCAACGCGGTTGCACAGAGCCTCGCATCGTAGACAGGCGTCAAAGGCATCACTGGACGTTGCCTTACGGTCGCCAAACCACTGGCGACCCGAGAAGCTGGTACAGAGATTTTTGGCCGATGCAATAACCATCCCGAGGAGCGCGAAATACATGCCGACAGTTTCCCATCGGATAGCACAAAGTTCCTTTTCAAGAGCACCGTCTGCGGCCGTCGTGGGCATATTGAGTGGTCGAGAAGTGTGGTCAAAAATTTCTCGAGAAGTGGCCTGGAGGCGATTCAGTGATCGACTAGAATGAAGGTCCTGCAAATTGGTCTGGATGGCGCGCCAAGCCGCCTTGGCTAAAGGACCACCAACTGGACTGTCTCCGAGATCTTTATACCAGTTGTGGACTAATTCTTCGAGATCTGGGTGGGAATAGCGATCAAGGAGCAGTTGCAATAACTCCTCACCCTCCCTTATGAGAGATGAATTCGCGTGGAATGGTTGCTGCAGATGAGAAACTCCAGTGCGAGTTAGCGACCTATATTGACGCGAGGATGTCGTTTGATCAGCCTCTGTTGGTGACAAAACAGAAGTTTGCATGGCAACCAAACCAGTAGCTAGATCAAACGCAGCAGGAATCGGCGTGACCGAAGAAGATGTCGGCAGAGACGAGGATAAACTCGAGGACAATACTGTCAAACTCGATACCTCCGTCAAGGTCTCCAGCGGCCGCTGGGTAGCATCAACTGGAACGCTAGATAGTCTCAACTGGCGTGTAAGTTCTCAATCGCGGGAAACTCGAGTGAATCAAAGGCTAACATGACTTACATAGCTGCGGCTACGCGCGACTCGCTGCGTTGGCGTCGTCGGGCCATCGGCGCAGGGTGATAGAAGCATTGCTCTGTGAGCCGGCGTCTGGCGCAGCGAGCACATCGAGGTCGACCATGATCACAGCGCAGTTTTGATTTGCGGCAAGGCTCACACGATGACAGCTGCCCATTCCGACGGACAGCGTCAGACATCTTGGCAAGATGCTTGGCGTGTCACAGCGTTCACCTGTGGAGAGAATGTTTGAGATTGGGCGCTTATTAATGTGCCTGGCAATTGGGCGTTGCTTCAATCGTGGGGCGCCAGCTGGTGTGGACAAGGGTCTGGTACCAGACTACAGGTCCGTACGAGTACATGCCAACAGAGCGCTCCCCAGTTCAACGTCTCAATCTGGATCAGGCCATCTCCTTTGGGCACCTTGCACAGAAACTGGCGAAGCAGCTTATCAAACTTCAAGGGTGTTGCAATAACTACCACCGAACAGCAAAACAAAAGCGCATAGGAAGTCCGAATGAACAAACCAGCCTTGCCGTCCCTGAAATCTACGGTCGGATCAGGCGCTGATGTCCTTAGCGCCAGGACTCTTGCGAACCAGAAATATAACGGTGTTAGATAGAAAATAAGCCCTAAAACTAGAAAGAAAAAGAAATCGCCGAGGACCGTAGGATGGTAACCACCAGGACGGTAATGCTCTATCCATTCACACAGCGGAAAAATCGTCTTAAATCTCGTATCAACTTTCTGTATAATGGATCATGGGGAGTAGAAGAAGCTTGAGTACCTATGATTGCATTCGAGGCGCGTTGCCTAAAACCAGCCCGGAGGGGTAAATTAGATTTGGTATTGCACTCGTTTGTTTATTTATTTATTTTATTATTAACGTCCACTAAGTAAATTAATTATATAAGTCTTTATTTAAGCACTAAAATAGTAAAAACTACAGTTATTTAAATTTTATATTTATTATATTTTAATTTAATAAAAAAAAATAAAAAAAAATAAATATTAATTTATATTTATAAAAAAAAAAATTATATAAATTTATTTTTTTTATTAATTTTAAAACCTTTTTATAGCTTTTATAATTTAAAAAATATATAAAATATATAATTTTAAATAAAAAGTTTTTTTTAAAATATTTAAAAAAAAAAATATAATTATTTAATATTTTATAAAATATTTTTAAATTTTAAATTTATTATATTTATAAATAAATTTTATATTATAATTAAACTTTTTATAATATTTTATAAAATTATTATATTTAAATTTTTTAATTAAAAATTTATAAAAAATAAAATATAAAAAATAAAATTTAAATAATATTATAAAAATATTAAATTATTAATATTTATAATATAATAAAAAATTATTATTTTAATAAATTTTTAATATTAATTTTTTTTTTAATATAAATAATTATAAAATAATTATTTTTATATTTTAAAAATTTTAAATTTTTTTTAATTAATTTATTTATTTTTTTATTATTTAATATATTTTTATATTTAAAAATTTATATTATTTTAATAATAATATATAATTATAATTTTTTAATTATTTTTTTTAAATTTATATATATATTTTATAATAATATTAATATAAATTTTAAAATTTTATTTATTATTATAAAATTATTTAAAAAAAAAAATATTTTTTTAATATTTAAATTTAATATAATTTATATTTTAATAAATTTTATAACTTTAAAAACTTTAATTATTTTTATATTATAAACTTTAATATTTATTAAATAACTATAAAATAAAATAAATTTATAATTATAATATATAATAATACTTTATTTTATATTTTTTATTTTATTTTATAATT